CGTTGGGTACGGGCAAACCCGTTGTATATAATTATGTCTAATCTCATACGAAATACTGTGAAGGAAATGCAAAGTCTTCTGGGTAGTACATGGCACATGCGCACTTCCACTAAGACCACCGGTCGCACAAAATTTCTCCAATCCAAGCTCAGAAAAATTAGCTTTTTTGTATGTATAGGGTCGTGGGGGTTGGCGATAGCACTGTAAAATGGATCGAGAAAGAGTGGTTGACGTGTTTGGCGCGGAAATCAAGCAAATGAAAAAAAAATTCCCTCTGGAGATTTCCAGCGGGGAAAGGTGTTCACGAAGCGGGGCAGCTGTAATGAAATTCACGCTAGGGTCTTGTTATTTCGTAATTGGAGTCTGTATCAGTGTAGACTGAACGAGATATACATGTACATGTGCTGCGCGAGCTGCACGTATTCGATTTGTGGTCAAAGTTGTCACAGTAGTAAAATTAATTTTACCCACATCAAGTATTTAAGGCTTATTGAAATGTCCCGCGGGTGATACCTGTTTCACACTTTACCACTTTATGACTTTGCTTTTCAATTTGATACTCCCCCAACGTAAAATAAAATTGGGGACGTCAGCAAATGGCATCTTTCAAATTGTCTCCAGTCCTTGCCTCATAAATTTGTGTTTAACGACCTGCCTGATGGCGCACCAAAGCCAAACTAACGACATGTCAGTGATTCACGCTCCGCTAAATCTTGACATTTTAGTCAGTGGTCACGGCTTGGAAAAGTGGAGGGTTGAATGAGCAGGGATTTCACCGGAAAGTCCTCTTCTCGTGCCAATGGGAGAGCGTTGCCGCGGCAACGCAAATTGGGAACTAGCAAGGGAGGAGAGGTTGTTGAAACGGTCAGTTAAAAAGTCAACGCATTCGGACGACCAAGAGTGGATTTAACGGGAGCGCATTTCCTCTGAGACGGCTCGCTCGTGTGTCCGTGGTTACCGGACGGCCCTCCTACGGCTTTTGGCGCAGAACACTCGTTCCGCGGAATCTGATAATCTTGCAGCCGTCTCTTGGTGATAACGTCCAACCAATGCATAAAAGCCTCAACGGAAACTGGCCCGAGGCGACGAATACGGTGTCCCGGATGGGGCACGCACGCTGCAATCGAGAATCTTTGTCACAACCCTGCAAATTCCTCTCACAGATGCACGCAATAATTCACAATTTTTTTCGCTATGCAGTGATTTTCCGGTTTGTGTAAGGCATATTCATTTTTTTCCCTCGATTAAACGAATGTCTTCCGCCAGTTGTTAGCATCAAAGCTAACTGCGATGAGAGCAGTGTGAACTAGCACCTTCTAAATTTTTTTAATGTCAGTGGTGTCCCGTAGCAGCTGTGGCTACATGTCTCGAGTAGAATTGCAGTGCAATAGAACAATTGTAACGGGGCTCCAGTCACGTCTGAATTCGATTCTCCCTCCTTCTTGAGGAAAGCATTACACTTGGGCCCAAATAAATGGGGGGCGATATCACATTCCACAATTTGCTGATTGCGTAGAGTCTCGTTCTCTGACAGCACATCCTGCGAGAGTTCGACGTTCATTTTTAGCAACACGTCTGCTCGTGATGGTCCAGCAATTTGCAACGATGGTTCGTGCATCTGATGACCAGGCGCAGAGTTAAGTTTCCAGTAGGGCCTACCACTTTTATTAAGTAGAGAATATGGATACATGAGACTGAGACATGTAAGGGATCGTCTAAAACTACCACTGACTTCGCTTCGGGCGGAGACTCGTGGAGAAACCTTGTGGGCGGGTATCTCAGTAAGGGGGGGCATTATCTGGCACAATTCCTGCGACATTACCAAGGATTCAAACCGAAATTGCTTCGAAATTGCTTCGGTATTGCTTCGGTTGATTTCATTCGCTTAATTCGTTCGGGTTTTTGTGTACTTCAATGTATTATGCACTAATCAATTCTGTTAATTCTTGCCCAATATTAGCTCAATAATAATAATTTTATTAGACTGGCGGGGTATTCCGTCCGCGGGCGTTTCATAATAGTGCGCCTCCAAGAGTTTGCAACACGTTGGCCAATCACAATGCGCGAAATTTGTCGACCCAATGCGCGTTTGGAAAGGGTCGACAAATTTCGCGCGTTGTGATTGGCCAACACGTTGCAAACTCTTGGAACTTACAAGGGAACTAAGAAAAGGTCTTGGTTGCTACAATGCACAGTGACTGGATCAGTCTGTACGCCCAACTGCGCACCGGGAAAGGTGGCGCCAACCACGTTCTCAGACGGGAACCCACAGGTTCATGCACATTTTTCTTCGTTTTTCAAATCCTGCGAGAAGAACAATTAATTAACTGAACGCAGGACCCTCGGCACCATACTTTTTCACGGTGGCCCACTAAAGCTAGAAATTGGCAGCCAAGCCAGGTGTTATACAATCACACTGTTGTAACAATGGTATGAGAATAGACCGATTGCGCCAGCTAAGTCTCGTATCAAACATCTACAAACATAGCGTCCTCCCACAGCAAAGTGCATCATAAGTGTCATTTATCGAAAATAAGGGTGAGTGTCGGTAAAGTACTCGGACTACTGATGTACTGAGCACTATACCAAAATTGGCGTTATATTTGGTGAACAACATTTATGACACACTTTGCTATGGGAGGACGCCATACTTGTTGATGTTTCATACCCATTTCAGGTCGCCCAACGCTCCGACACAGCTTAAATGAAAATGAAGCATGAAATGAAAAGATTATTTTATTCCATAAGCCCCCCAGAATGCAATATTCGTATAAACCTGTAACATATGACCTAATGCTATTTCTCAGGATGGATTTTTGTGTCGAGGAGATCCTAGTTTAATTTGGGATTTTTGCTCTGATTCTGATTTTTTTTCACAGGCTTTCGGGGGCAACACTGAGTATACAGTGTTAAAATACACGTCGGGCAGGGCAAAAAAATATCCAAAATTAAATGTGACGTATCACTTTGTTTACATAGTTGGATAGGACGCAATCCATCAAGCCCCCCCGTAAAAGGGCACGCGCGCATGACACATACGACACGTACACGTAAACAAAGTGTGACGTCATTATGTTTTACGTGTCTAACTTTGCCGCGCCCCAAACACGTACTGTCACATTTTTTGACAATATTTGCAATCGTAAACATATCGCGGTGGCTCGAGAGGTCGGAGGTGTTGGACTCAAAATCAAATGGGGTCTCCCCGAGCAGGTTTAAATCCTGCCCGCACTTTATATAAAAATGTGCCGACATTTAAACAAGTTGTCGATTCTCCTGGGCAAAAAACATTCATTAGTGAAAGTGTCGCTATCCAGTTCGTAACCCACGCCCACTGCGCATGTACCGCACATTGAGTTGCATGCAATGATCGCCATTAACGTGAACCATGGAACCGGACTTCAGCGATCGTCCAATGGGAGCCTGGAAATCGTGGCGCGTCCGCCTTTGTGACGAAATCCCTTACGAACCGGATTCTTGCAGTTGGATAAAATGCATCAAAATAATGAACAGGCTATTCCATCCTGTAAGTCCCCCACGGAATCCAATATCAGCATTTATTCTCTTAGAAACATGTTTGCTCAGTGCCTTCAGTGTAAATACTGCGCGTCAATCACTTCTGGCCTGCTCTCTTTATCGCCTACGCACAGCTGTGAACATTACATACTGCTGTGTACATGTAGTTACTGTAAGAATAGCATTATCCTGCAGAATGGTAGAAAAATACCTCAAAACAGTGACCACTCTTTGAAACTTGTATACAAACCATGACAGTAATTGTCGCCAGAGTAAAATAAGGCAGCAGATGAATCACAGAGAAGAATTCAAGATGTAGAATTTATATCTGAGGGGAATTTTACACTATAAAGCGAAATGGTGTGTCTGTATCAGTTGGGGACATACGTGAGTTTTTTCCGTGCAGGGAACAGATAGTTGTCACAAGGTCCCCTCTTCTTACATGCACTTCACCAAAATGTCGTTCAATTGTGTCTAGTGTTGTGCCCAGATAATTTCATGAGTTTCTACCAACTGATCTTGCCTAACAAGCCTTTTGCGAGTTAAACTTGAATGAAATCTGGTACACTGAGTTATCTGATTGCACACAAATATAACAATTCGAATTTCCCAGACTAAAGACACTGTTGCTATACCTCGTGATTTGGGGCAAGCTTTTGCATAGCAACCACCATCTCTGGAATGGACTGGTTCCTTTGTGCCATTCTTATCCATTGAAAATTGTTTGTTGGTGCAAGGCGTCTCATATGTAACTAAGAAAAAGCTTGCCCCGAATCATGACGTATAGCAACAGTGTCTTTAGTATACAGATTTCAAATCGTTAAGTTCACGTTGATTAAAAGAACTCAGTGTACCAGATTTTATTCAAATTTAACTCACAAAAGGCAGGAACTGTTTCGAGACGCAAAATCCCTTCTTTCATACTGTAACTAGGTGGCGTGTTGCTTTTTTCTTTGCCTTGCAACGTAATGACAATAATGTGTCAACTTCTGGACACAAAATGGATTGAATTTGCTATCTCTCGAATGCATAATGTTCGTTGTACACTGCGACATACACCCCTCTCTGTCCATATCAGACATGTAATTCACATCTTACAAGGCCCTAGTTCCAAGTCAGAAGACACCCAAGTTGCCCATTTCATGTCTGTGATATATTACAAGGGTAATCAAGTTGCGCCCGCCGTTTACCATTAACAAGGCAGACCGGTTTATCTGCCCACATCCATTTTGCTCGCCATCAATTTTACTAACTTGACTTTCCCCTCAACAATCTTCACGATCGCAAGTCGGCGCGGCAGACGTGACTTTGCTTCGCAACGATGCCATGCACGGAAGAAGTTTGATCCCATCTTAGTGAGGAGAAGTGTAATGCTAATGTGAAGTTTTTATAATGCATGCACGTATACCTACGATCTTGCAACCTTATTCTTTCATTATTTTTAATGAACATGTCTGTAACATTGTTCAACTATTAAACTGGGCTATAGCGTCCTAGCTTGTAATTAAAACGCAGGAAACACATGTTAAGTATTTTTGCCCCGAGAGGGCAGATGGAAATATCACGTAGAGTTCATAGCCAGACACGTTGATGTACTATTATGTACTCCATATTAGCGAACAGGTCGTGAGCGGCATTATTGCTTTAGTCTGAATTTTAGACATGCTGGACTGAGTTAACAAGGTAAATATTATACCTCTTCGGGAAGAAACTTTAACACATTATATTCGCTATATCACGACAACCTGTATATTCAAAGTAAACATGTTCATGTACGAAAGTTCATTTTTATTTGACCTTCAATTTGCAATTCATTCCTTCGACACAATGGTTGAACCGCTGGGTACCTGCATAATCTCCCATGCGTACCGCACAATATCAACTATACACATGCGAAAAACCTGAAACTATAGCAAGCCAACATCTTTTGGGCCCAATTATAATTATGTGTAATCTCATGTTGTTTTTGTTATCGACACTTGATGGATAAAAAGTGGTTTGTTTCAAGCAAAGTTGATTTGGAGCTTGCAAAAAAACTTTCGAGTTCTAGAGTCAATAACCAGAACCAGATACTATTTTTAGTTGGGTACTCGATCCTATAGCCGTGGCTGTTATGGTCCGTACGCTTTCAAAGCTGGTATATGCAACATTTAGAAAATGATAGAATTTTTGGATTACTCAGTATCTGAATTATATACATGATTCAACATGCAATAAGCCATTTGCGAGTTAAATTTGAATAAAATCTGGTACACTGAGTTCTTTAAATTGACGTGAACATAACAACTTGAATTTTCTTAAACCATTGTTGCTATAGTGACTTTGGGGCAAGCTTTTGCTTAGTTACATAAGAGACGCCTTGCAACAATACACTGTTCTCAATGGATAGGCCTAGGAACGGCACAACGGAATTAACCAGTCCATTCCAGAGATGGTGGTCGCTATGCAAAAGCTTTTCCCGAATCACGTGGTAGAGCAACAGTGTCTTTAGTCTGGGGAATTCAAATTTTTACGTTTCTATGCAATCAGATAACACAGTATACCAGATTTTGCGTACTCCCTATACTTACTATAATATTCAAGTGACAAAAATACAGATAAAGGTGAAACCTCAGGTTTATAATTTGTTAAGCTATTACCATGTGTGGTAGGGGAATTCATAATTACAAGATCACTATCCACCGATATCGTAATTAACAAAGAAAACTGTCATTATTTGCACAATTATGACGTCCATGACACAACCGCTATCTAAAAATACATTGAAGTTGTAACATTTACCGTTTAACATTGGCCGTGTCAATATTGTAAAACTGACATCTGGCTTTTTGGGTTGAGAATTGTGTACCGAGCAGGTTGAAGTGTAAAGGTTGCAAACCTTCTTGTGAATATTTTTCAAGCATTTAGCAAAGGTTTGAATACTCGTACATTTTCAACATACAGTTTAATATTGTATTTTCATTCAGTTACAATATACACCCTTTCATGCAGGTCTTGCAACCTGGATATCTCAGGCATATGTACTTGCATTGAGTGTATAGTTTTCCACGTGCAGAATGGTGATGTGTTTTGTTTCTCCTCAAATCTAAACTTTTCTCTGCCATGGCTTCATCCCAAGCTCCTTAAGTCAGTTTCAAACGCAAATCAACAGTTCTAAATTTTGGTCTTTCAGCGGCTATTTAGTGTTTCGTGAAAATAGAGTCTTCAAAAATTACTGCTTTCCGTTTTTAACCAACCCCCCCTAAAAATAGAATTCAACTGCAGCAGGTTAACAGACGCCACCACCACGAACGTGTGGTTATCTGTGTCACTGTAATTATCAGCGTTTTATCAGCAAATTTATATCATTAGCTCAACTGTTGCTTTATAGTACATGAACATGTACTACCTTGAAAATAGAAGACTCGCATTTGTGTTGTCATGGCGTCCAATGTAGCATATGCCCTGTCTGGCTTTTGGTTGAAGTGTTTAAATTGAGCGTCAATGAACAAAAAAGATCATTGATACATGCAGTGTTTTGTGAAACGCAAGGCCTTTACAGAAAATATCAAAGAATAAGAATTGTATGATTTATTGTTTTCGCACCTAGCTAGCTCACGCAGAGCCTATACATGCAGGAAAAAAAATGCACATAGGCCTGTTTGAGCGCGCTGTAGAATTGGAGGAAATAGTGAAACTGCCAGAGTTAGGTTAAATATGATGATTTGTCTGTAGGGGATAGGAAAGAAAGCAAATAACGGGAAAAGGAAATGTAGACTGGAAAAAATAATTTCAAATTCAGGAAGGAGAAGAAAGGATTCGTATGGGCTAGACTTCACATCATTAGGAACTTTTACTAGATTTTTTTTTAATGGAAGCATTAATTGTCGATAGAGAGGATAAAAATGAAGTCTGATGTGAAACAGCATACAAAAATGAGAAAACACTCTACTCTTTTGAATGACATGCAGGACGGAAATCATTCTGGGTGTTAAGCTCGGATGATACTAGATACGACTGTGAGCTTAAACTCGAATCGGGCGATTCTTACCTTTTCTGGTGTTGCTTCGAAAGGATTGGATAGAAGGGTCGGAGCGTACGTGCTCGACATCATCGCAAAGGCAGAAGGCACCTCGTCTAAAATAACTCCGAAATCCCGGTCATAATCCCACGATGAGAAAAGAAATCCAGAGATGGCTTTACCACATGCGCGCGCCAAAGATGCAGATTCTGTAGGCCTACTGCGTTCTAATGATGACGTACCCTGCGCGCCGACTATAGTGGACGATCCATTGTAATGATAAAGCCGAAAACAGAATTGAAAAAATAAGTTAATTTAATCGGCAGCCGTGCAAAGTGTTCATTTCGTATTCAGAATATCCCTCTGTGAGAGCTACGCAGAGGGAATGATTTCAGTGTTGCAGCTGCTGCAAATTCCATAATAACTAGACCTTAGTACTCTCGGGCGAACCACAGTCACGCGACTAGCGACATCTGTTTGGATGGGACAGGCTCAAAATAGCATTCGATCGTGGAAAACGTCCCGGGCGTACCTGGCTCCCGGTTTTTCCTCGCTTGTGGGGCAACAGGACCCCAGGAGAACCAGTCAAGTCAGCTTGATCGATGATGACCCTATACTAGAAAGAGTATGGATCATTTAAACATCCTTGGATCTAGTTTTTCACTATCGCCTATCGAGCCGTCGGATAACAGAGAATACTGCCACCCGATGACCGAGGGCGCGCTCCGTAGCACACGGGTGCAGCCCATGAATAAACTGCTATAGCCAACAGTAATAAATACCCGAACTTCAAAAAACTAGGAAAAATACTCACGAGTTTGTCAGGCGTTCGAGACACACATCAAGCTAAAGCCCGTTTTATGATTTTTCATTTTCTTTTCGAATTACCATTCATTAACCGATGACTTTGAAGATATTTTTTTCCACAGAAACTAGGTGACTGTAGAGCGGTCATGAAGCCCCTCGCCATTGAAAAATCGATATGCCTACACTTCTCGAAAAATAGACCGTTTTCTTCAAAACCTCGCTCAGACACAAGCTGGTTTTCGTTTTGCTTGCCTAAACCTATCTTTTCTACAAATCTTTAAATTCACAGGCCATAAAATGCTCTATTTCGTAGAAAATTTGAATGCACACAAAATTTAATTGTGATTAGGCTGGCCGGCGCAAGGAGTTTTCAGCTCATGTACTGGCCTGCACCGGCTCGTCCCCCACCGCTGCACCTTCAAGTTTGCAGGGTACCAGGAATTAAGCCTGGTACTAATATGCTGCAGTCTTATCTCCCAAAATTGCCCAAGCCCTGCATTTAAATTTAGTTACTTATGAACCGATTTGTGTTCAAGTACACATGGAATTGTGGCGATAGGCCTTGCGCTCATGCTGTCTACCTTTCAAATAACCAACAAACAATAAATATAATCTCTATCTGCTGTCTGACCTGTGAGTTCGGCCGTTTGCCTGTCTTTATATGTCAGCTGTAAGTTCTTTCTCCTGAATACCATTATCCGTAGGCTACTTGTATTTTTTTATCAGACGAGCTGGCACACTGTCACATCTAATCATTATTATTTATGAATAAAGTTACATGTACTTTACTTTGTTTCGCCGGACAATCTTTTGTTTCCAAGGAGGTGCCATGGTTCGCTCTTTGCCCTTATAGGTACAGGTATGTTGTCGCGCGGAACTGTACATCGATACATGCACATTCGAAATTTTATTGTTGGTAGGTATGGAAAGGAATGTCTCTCGAATCAAATTGATTTAAGCTCATATTAAGACTCAGACGCAAATGAGTTATAACCGGGAGACAAAAAACTTCGACGAGCCATTTCCTAACCCGTGGACTGACCTTGTTAAAATGGAAAAATCTCGTGCGAAAAAGAAGATATAATTCATGATTGAAACACTGACCAACACCTTTGCTCAGAGTCTTATGTTACCAGGTGTAGGGTGTTGATTTGCAGTGGGGGAAAGATATAGAAAGCCGCCGGTTAGGGAGGGCGGGGCAAGCCATTTTTTGTACAATAAACAAAACGCTTTGTGTTTAACGTCACCCCTCACCTCTGACATACCGACTCACACCTTATAGAATTTATTCATACGCCAAAGCCAAGTAATGTAAAGAGTTATAGTCTACGTTTCAGGAGAAAAATGGTCTTAAATAAGATTCTAAAAATTTCAGAGTTTTATGTAACAGTTAGCTTTGCAGACTTATGTCAATATTGTTAAAATAATGGGGAAAGCAGGGACTATTGTTGATCGTGTGCGTATGCATAAAAATGAGTCAGCTGACTACTCGCCATTTTTATCTCGATCCTGGTATTTCGAATTGGTGAAGTCTGGCGCACAAGGAAACTCCGGGATATTCTGCCATTTCCAGTTTTTTCTTAGATGTTTTGGATCGTAAAACCCTCCTAGAAAAAAGGTAAGGGTCTTCAGATGTAAGATTGTTCATTTGTATTTCCAACCTTATCGTAATTTTGTCACCTTTTCGTTCTGTAGTTGTGGCGTTTCTTCTGAATCGATCGTGTTGATCACACTTGACGGGAATCATGTCGTTTGCATAAATTAACCGTAGAAATTAAATATTTAAAAAAAGCTGGGCTGTGTGTCCGCTTACATTTTCACTGAATATGTTTTTATTACCAGTCTGCCAATGCATTTTTCACAATTTATAAAGGTTATAGGCCATATAGGCCTAGGAGTTAGTCCAATTAACCATGGAGGTAGGAAAAGAACTAAGTTTGTGTTCATGAGTACTGCAGTCGTGTCACCGCAATGGCAAGTTGCATCAGGCCTAGCACATTATAGCATGCCTAGGCCTATGGCCCACAAGCGTTCGGCGCTGTTCATGCATGGTAACGGTGAAACGGCTGGCTTTAATTGATCCGTTCGGCCGATCTGCACGATCGCTTGGTCGTTCTGCTCATGTGTTTTTATAACTCTTTTCAGTGCAATCTTCAACTTGCGAAGTTTTCTTTGAGCAATTCAAGATTGTGCATATTTTAAATCTGAGCGCAATCTTTGAACATGTTGAATGTGCAAAATTTTTTGTGCCTTGAAATTGTGTGTGTTTAAAGGGAGTCGTGATGGTTAGCGTTTGACAGAGCCTAGACCCGTCACCAGGGCCCGACAAATACTCCTCCGTCATATACTGGGCCCTGTCCCGACCTATTGCCTTGAGGAAAGGCTAGGATTCCAGTACAAACTAGTAGTTTTGGGGGTCATTTCAAACTCTTATTTTCCCTGATTGTTATTGAATTTGTGTGGGATCCTACTTTTATTGCAGATATATTTCCAAAAATACATCCGCGGCTCTAAGAATTTTCCAAATTAAATTCAACAGGAGAAGTTAATAGCCCTCATGGGGAATTAGTTTTAGGAGGAAGAAATGTCAGAATTTCAATGTCGATGGAAATTTAATTGCTGTTAAGTGACAATATTCATCAAAATGCTCAAATGGCGGAATTTCTCGTGTCAACTGGCATTCACTTGTGACGTACCGTGATGTAACATATAATAAGTACACATGTATGTGCCACGCTGTATAGGCAGCAGACACGTCAAGTGCGAAACAGGCCCAACAAAATTATGCCAGATGTGCAGACGATGTCAGTCTCTTGTCAATACTTGTGTACGACTATTCCCTGTGGTTCATTTATCCACGCAATTGTTATCACTGTGCGCAATTTTTATGCCAATATCTGTGGTTGCGGGAAATGTAAAAATTTGCGCACTTTCAAAGATACATGTAACGCTCAACATCTTCCTTCCCTAACCACACAGAATTAAACAGTAGTAAAGTGTTTAATTCTGTGGGGATAGGTCTGGTAGGCCCATAACAGCTGACTTTTGCATTAGGTTTGGCATACCTCAGAAAAACTAAGTCCAACAGTCTCTGTGCACAAAGTCCCATATGGGTGTTAACTTTTTAAGAGATTTTTATCTAACCGAGTTTGATAACATCAAGTACATGTTAACTTCTTGGACAGAGTTTTATATATGCCAGTCAGGTAATGACGATGGCAAACTGGCCCGTGATGTCTGTGTATGGATGCATCTGGATGCACGTGTGATGCATCCAGACATGCCAGAGGGGTGGGTGACTGGGCGATAAACCTCGTGCTGCAGCAGGAATTTTGTGGAAACATGCTCGCTTCAAGTACAAGCAAAACAACCTCAAATGAAACTTTTGAACACATGAAATACATACATGTAGATAAGAGACCAAGGTTTTTGAATTAACTTGCAGAAGTCTTCTTGAATTACGAATGTTTTTTCGCTTTGCAGCTGTAGGGTTGTGTGCGTGTACAGCCGATGTAGTGTAAAACGAGGCTATTGCGACAGGTGTGTATAGACTTGTTACCACATTTCCATCACATGTTTTTTTGCGTCGGCGTGGTGCGATGGGAACCAATGTTATGCACTGAGCTTTGCGTACCACGTCAGGGCTCGTGAAAGGAACTCTAAAAACAAGCATTTTAACATGAAAAAGGTTGTTCAGAGGTGTATTGTACAGACAGAAAAGACAACAGAATTTATTATTTTCCTTTTTAAAATGTTTTTAAATTTGATTTTCCAACTTATACAAATTAGGGTCGGTCGGAAACTGGAAGCACAAGTATTTTTTTTTCTGCTTAAACAAGTTAGTGCTCTGTTAAACAGTGATCCCGCGATCCACCTGTCGGTTAAAACTTGTTTATCGTATAGATGTGCAGAGAAATGATTCAAATGTACATGTACATGCCAAGATATTAGTTACATCACAGACCAGTACGAAAGTCCTGGTTTGGTAGCTTTGGTGAAAAACTTTGCAATGAACTGCATGTTCATGTATCTTGGTTTCATGAACTACTGTACAGTGCAGGTCAGAATTTTAGTCGAGACTAAAACGATCAGAGAGCCTGACACGCTGTTCATTACACGCTTTTCAAGTTTTCAGTTTTTACCTGGTGTTGCTGGTCCAATGCACGATAAGCCAGACCCCAGACCTCATTATCTCGCCACGGCTTGGGACCACAGACCGGACAGGTCACCGACAACGTGCAGTGAACATTGAGTTACATGTAAGTGCACTGCGTGCAGATGTGTTTACTTACCAACAGTTGCATTATCAAATCGAAACTTCCAATAAATATATCATGATTGTTGAAAAAACTTGTGTCTTTATTTTAGTCAGTAATATTCATGTATCAAACACTAAACACCTTTTCCTTCGTGGCAAAAGCATGGTAACTTGTAAAACCGTTCTGTGACGTTAAACCGCCGTTTTAAATTGCCTCCTTAAGTATTCATGAGCTTATGAATATCATTGATTGGGCATTTAATCCAATGGGGAAAAAGTGCACTTTCTTTCAAGCCATTTAATGGGTATTTACGAAGTAAAATGGGGCCATTCATTCATAAATATTGAAATTAGAGTCCATTGGCCTTTTTTACCAGGCGTGGGAAAATTTGCATGTGCATGCATTCTGCAAGCTCTCTGATGCGTCGACAATGCCACTCAAAAATCAGCTCAACGACTATCAAAAAGGGATGATCCATGCTTGGAATATGGAGGGGATCTCCAACCGGGAAATAGCCCGTAGGCTAGAGATCAGCGAGGCTACAGTCAGGTACAATTTGAAGAAGCTAGAGGAGAGAAATTCCATGGAGAATGTTCCGAAATCTGGCCGACCCAAGCGGACGACTGACCGCGCTGATCGCTATCTAGTCCGCACTTCCCGCCGGAACCACTTCCTGACGGCCCCTGAGCTCAGGGATGACCTTGCCACCACAACCGGAGTCAAAGTGCATAGATCAACCATATCTCGTCGCCTAGCAGCAGTAGGCTTGCATGGACGGGTTGCGAGGCACAAACCACGCCTATCTGCCGATCACAAAGCCCAACGGATGGCTTGGGCTCGAGAGCATCTCACCTGGACCCCTGACAACTGGGCCAAAGTCTTGTGGTCGGACGAATCACGCTTCAAGCTCTACCAATCTGATGGGCGGGTTTACGTTCGGCGAAGTGTGGCTGAAGAATATTCAGAGGACTGTGTGGTCCCATCAGTCAAACACAGTGGCTCTGGGATAATGGTGTGGGGATGTTTTAGCTCTGCTGGTGTCGGTGACCTTGTGCGGGTCGAGGAAAATATCAGTGCAGCGGTTTATGTTGATATTCTCCGCGACCACTTGATCCCTTCTGCCCATCATTTGATCGGTCCTGAATTTTTGTTTCAGCAGGATAATGCACCGCTGCATACTGCAAGGATTACACAGGAATACCTGGCCGATCCGACCCCAGATTTCATTCGAGAGATGGGGGGCAGTTGGGAATTCCAGGTCATGGAATGGCCGGCCCAGAGCCCTGACCTGAATCCCCTGGAGAATTTGTGGAACGAGTTGAAGAGGCAACTTCACCGCGAAGTTAGGCCTCGAAACAAGGATGAATTGTTCCAAATTCTCCAGCGGATTTGGTATGGTCTGGATCGTCAGATCCTAGCCAATCTGTTGGGGTCAATGGGCCGGCGTTGCCAAGCTGTCATCGATGCTGGCGGCGCTGTTACTCGGTATTAGTCCGAGCTGCCCACATTGTTTTTCTTGTTCCATGGACCCCACCATCTTGGATTTTAACGATAATGCTCATTAACTTTGTGCATGCAAAAAACTATCCCGTCGGATTAGCTGTCACTGTGGACTCATGAACGCTAATTTTATCAATCACACTTCAATTGTTTGAATTAAATAAAGCACTCAAGACGCAGGTATGAAGTTTAATGGAATAACTAATTACATGTAGTTTATGTGCGGATAACTCCTTTCGTGTCTGTTGGATTTGATATGTGCTGCCATGCTAAGCATGTTGGCTAAAATTCTGACCTGTACTGTAAAGTGAATTTTGCATATATAACCCTATCCTCCAAAATCCTGTGGGTGATTTTGGAGGATTGAGGGTGAATGGCAGCAGTGCATGGCTTATTGCGAAGGATGCTGGTCGTAGGTTAGACCTTGTGTTGTTTTTGCTTAGTCATGCATAAATTAACCTGATATTTCTTTTGAATCAACTGCACTGCTCAAGAATGTCGTTCGCAATGCCTCAACATAATGACAGGAAATGCCGGAGGATTTTGAAGGATTGAGGCAGCAGGCACACCTCCAAGTAACATTTTCAAGACTTTTCGGAGGATTTAGGGAGAATCCAATTTTTTCACCCTCCAAATTGGAGGATTCTGGATGATTGCGGAGGGTCCCTAGCAAAAAGGGCCTTGGGGGTTAGGGTTAATGTCTGATTTCAAGATTTTGGTTTTCACAGACTCATAAGCACGTTTTTGGTGTGTGATTCAGAGGAAAATACTTGGAAGTGTTTGACACGGATTATCCTTTAGCATACTTAATACCACGTAATTAAAATGAATCTTAAGAGATTAACCCTCCTTTAGTTTTACAGCACAAATATGCACAAGTGCCCAAGGTCACTCTCTTGCATGTTGGTGCAGTGCACAACACCACACAGCTGTGCTTCTTTGAGGTGTTTACCAAGTGACCCAAAGAGTTGACTTCAGCATAGGAGGGTTAAGGAAGGTTTCATTTCATGGAAGAAGTGCACTGAGACTTATGTGCGTTACATGTAACAGTTGTTGCCTGTGGTGTAGGGTCCGTGGTGTTTTGTACACCTGAGTTGGCACCCAAGGGTGTACAAAACTCATGGACCCCGTCACTGCAGTCAACAATTGTTTTGCTATACTGTGGTCAAAGATTTCACTGGAATGCTCTTAAATCTGTAATACACGTATTTCATTGCCAGATATATTAAAACACTAATTAAAACAGATGAACATTAAATTAGATAGGAATTTCAAAGAAAATGATTGATCATGATGTCCTTTGTTGACCTGTGATTTTATTTTTTGTGGGAGGGGGAGAAACCTAGGATTTAAAACATTTGTTTGATAGAGAAACCGGTGATCTGTAAGAAAAATTGGGGGATTTGTCGAGTGATTGAATTTCCAGACATTATTCACAACAGGATTCGTTGAAAAGTATGGACAAGATTGAAGAGAAGACGAGATGATACTACGAAATGAGCGTTTTATATAAACGGCAGTGACGATTGTAGCAGAAGCAATGGTCAGAGCATGCTCCTGTTTCACGAGTACCACTTCGGCCATCCACTGTCATACCCAAGGTTATACAATTACAATGTAGTAGACGCGACACATTAACTCTGGGAAAGATCACCATGATTCATTGTGTTTTGTGGCGTGACATCACCGTAGCGCACCGCGTGAATGATACTGGTACATGCGCGTTTGTAACATATTATTACGTGATCAAAATTCACTATCTATGACCGTGGTGGAGTTTGTGAAAACGAAAATAATGGGAACTGTTTATTCCCCTTGCTTGCATGTTATTTCGTGCAGAGGAAAATTTCTCGGAACTGTCAACTCTCTGCCCAAAGCAAGCACAAAGGTACCATGTTGCATTAGTCTCTGGTGCCGGTGATCATATGAGAATAAGTTGGTTTCTGTTTTTCCCCAGGATGGGTATTGATGGAACAGGCCCTGGCTGGCCGCTGAAGCCCAGCTCTGGTATGAACTGGAAGGAGCTGGGTGAGAACGATGACCTGGCCACCAGCCTGGTCCTTGACCCCTACCTCAACTTCACCACGCACAAGATGAACACAAGGTGAGGTCAGCACTGCAGACTAGGCAGGTGCCCGATAACATTGAACTGCTAGGCAGGGAAATCCACTCAAGCCGTGGTCGCATGACTTGCCTGCAGCTCGAAAATATGCACAAGTCTATGGTTGTGGCTGCAGACACTGCCTTAACCCTAACAGTTCTGCATAAAATTTGGCATGCAGTACTCAATCCTACACAGCACTAAGCCGTAGCCTGAGCCTGAAGGGCCTTGCACTACAAATTACTTCTTCTGGCTAGGGCACCGTCCATTGTTACTCTACTGAGAACTATAAAGTAATAAATGTATAAATACCGGTAAATAAAGCGCCACAGCATTGTACGGTATCCTGTCTTATCTAATTGTATTTTATGGTTTCAGAGAACAATAAGGTAATGTCCTCTTACAAGTGACAGTGCTGAATACTATATTTTACAATTAAGTAGTACTTTGTAGTATTTAGGGCTGCTACTAGTGCTAGGATTAACAAGGAAAATGCTTGCTAAACAAGACAAGGTTACCAGCCAGAAGTCAGGCATCGTGTGCCAATTACGACTGGTTCCCACTTGAACTATTGCAGCTTTTTGGCCTTGGCTACCTATAAATTTAAATGCTGCTCAGCCTCAATTGAGCTCTCCACTTGCACATAAGTGTTGGGAATTGACTCATACATACCAGAACAATATCAAACGAAGAAACCAACAGGCCAAAATTCTTTGTTTGGTTCTGTTTCTCTAAAGATCCCCAGATGTGTTTAATACTGGGACAGGTTACCACTGCTGACAAATATAAAGTTCATGCAATTTTAGGGATTTTACTTGATATCTTGATGCACCACTCACAAAACATGTCGTTCAGTATTTGCAGCAGTCAAGGATCTGAAATTTCTTGTCTCACAGAGCATTGCAAGTTGCTTTTCTTAAAAGAAAATTGAACCACACCCTAAGTTGAAACTCAGTCCCAAAATTCAAACCCAAATCCCTATACTCTAAAAGGCCTTTTCACACGTGACACATCTGGGGGTTGATGCAATGTTGATACTGGGTTGAAAACTAGTAAAGATTGGCACTTGAACTTTTTCAACCATGCGTCAAGTTCAACCCAGAGATTGACTCCAGCTTGGGTTGAACTCATACTAGGGTTGTGCTCATCTCCAGATGAAATTTTCCCCGACACGGTCAGTTTGCCTAAAACAAGTGTGAAACAACCCCAGGTTGAATGCAGGTTTCAAAAATCAAATGTTCAACCCACGTTGAGAGGTTGCAGTGTGAAAAGGCCTTAAAGTAGCCCTCTACAAAAGCGATCCCAACTCTTCATGGGCAGATTACCCCTTGAACAAAAAAGGTCAAGAATTTTGGACTCCGCACTGAAATGTCGTTTTGTTTCCCATCAAAACCCAGGTTCCGCCCTGTGGATGCAAGGAAGGAATACCTTCGGGACATCATCCTGCGCTTCAAGAAGTCCCACAACTACGAGCGGGCCTACAAGGGCCTGGTGTCGGGCGACTGGGCCAGGGTCTTCTTCCTTAACAAGTCCAAGCACCAAGTGACCATCTTCAAGCAGCATGTGAGTTGGCTCCAAGAGGTCTTTATTCTTGTCTGTGTAATTTCACCCGGTGTGCTTTTTGTGACTAAAGATTGGAATCTGCTCTTAACCTTTCAAAATCCTCACCGCCCAGGTGGAGGATAGGCATGATTGCTGCTCTATGTAAGAAAAGTGTGGCTGATATTGAAGGATGCGCTTTGTGTCAAAGTCTTGGGCCGGGCCTTGCGTGTGTTCAGCCATGCACGAATATGGCCCTAGATTATAGTGGAAATTGTTCATACCGCCCCAACCCGTTTACAGTTATTTGGCAGAAGATGTTGAAGGATTGAGGCAGTGGTCACAACCTCCAAGGAAGGCTTGCATGACATTTGGAGGATTTTGGAGGATTGAGGCTGCACTCTATTACTGCATAGAGGATTGTACAGAATGCTGGTTGCATCCTAGGGAAAAGGGCTCAGGGGGTTGCAGGTTAATTTTGTAAATGTCCGGTGCGACTTCCGCACAATTGTTTAACCTCGGCAGTTCTGAATCATCCGATGCACACACCCCAAGGGGGCTAGAGTACACCATCAAAATGTTCAGTGAATACCACAGTTGCACGTAGTCAGTGTACGTAAGGCTAAAGGTACAGGTACATGTATTGTGCTTGAAAGAAGTACAGTTTTTTGGTACATGTACGGCTGAGAGGGAGTATGCAGTATGTTAACCCTAACTGTCTAGTATCCATCAAACTCCAGCAGGGTTTGCTAGGTTTTGGCAGGTTCGGTACCATACTCGATGAACTTGTTGAATGGTGTTGGACTTGGTATCAAAGGCCAAAAGGGGGATGGTGTTTGAGTTTGTGTGAGCTGGGACACACAGGGGTCATTGTGTGCAGTGTCTGGCTTGCTGTACCAATTGTTGGACTATGCTTGATTTTGTCAGGTTTGGTACTGTTCAGTGCAAGTCATCCTATATTACATAGACCCATACCATGCCATACCATACCATACCATACCATACCATACCATACCATACCATACCATACCATACCATACCATACCATACCATATCACTGAAATTCCAACAGTCATATTGATGGGGTTTATCAGATTTGGTACAGTGACCTGCTTGTACCTATACATAGACAAGTACATTGTATCAATTGAAGTTGAAGTTGGGTTCTGTACGGTGTATGCTCCTCAGTGCAGGAGCCTAGTGGGTTAGGGTTAATGCTTCAATGTTTTAAACCACTTTTTGAGATTAAATGGCATTATTTCATTTACATCTTCTGCTGTGGTTGAAACTAATTTTGGATTTGTTTATCAGACGAAATTCACGGCATCATGTCATTTCCTTTACGTCACTGTTTTCCTATTTCTTGTTTCCTGACGACTTGCCAGCACGTTTCAATTTCACATTGGCAAGGTTTTCAGTGTATCGTAATTTACATGTAGATTGTTTCATTTTTTAGGAAGTGAGACACACAAGCATTTCGAGATAACTGTAGTTAATTCAAAACAATGGTGAAATGGTTCACTGTTGCGATCATAATACAGTCAGTGAAGTGTACAACATCGGAGATGAGTTTCGTTTTCAAGTCATCAGTTTCGTCGGCCGTGTCTCTTGTCTGGGCCGGAAGAAGTTGGGCTTTCCAACAGGTTTAATTTTTGTCTCAACTTACAAGGAATTCTTCCTTGTTGAAGTCATTTCTTTTGGGGGATAAGCAGGGTCACGAGAAGGGAATTTCCCAATTGTTTCAGGGGTTTTCAGGGGGGGCATAGTTGAATTACATTTATGTCTCGCTTGTGTAATACCCAAAATAAGTCCCGAAGTGTGAAGTGTCACAATTGGATTAGAGCCAAAATTGGATATACGTGTACACGCACACTGGCCTTCAGTTTTTGCCTACATCCTGGTGTGGTCATACAGAAATTGTTTGTTCATTTGTAGAGCTTTTTTGCACAAACTTGGCCGAGTAAAGCTGAGCCTGTCCATAATTTGAGTCCACTTAATCACTGTCTTCTGTGGAGAAGTAGCTTGAACTGTTTTTTTAGGTTTGTTGAGCCCATTGTTTAACCTTGGCCTTTCTGGATTGATCTACCGGTACCTGTAAGTCCACATGTAACTCTTGTGTGACTCGTTTGCTTTTCTGTGAATGTGCATGTACTCGTCAAACTCCATTTCAAGGGTCATGTGATAATGGCTAGGCTGTGAAGACTCGTGTTCCTCATATGAATGAGGAAAACGGCTTTTTGTTCTGGGAAGATGTACATTCCCAGCTGCTGTTTTATACCCTGCCGCATACATGTATGCAGGTATTTGTGGTTCAGTGTGGACCAGTGTATTTGATCTGCTCTCAGGTGAAAGTAAGTTGGGCTGTTTGTGTCATCCACGTGTCCCTTTCTGCTGTACAATACGCAGGTGTTTCGCTATCTGGCGATGTTCGACAAGACGTCTGGGTTTGAGGTGAAGCCCTGCTTCCGCTACTCTTTGGAAGGGGCAGGAGGAAAAATTGTGGCGACCCGGGTTTGGTGAGTTACATAAAAACGATTTCTAAGGCCTGAGCCCTGATCCACAAGTACATGTAGACCGGGCTGATGTGCAATTAACTTCTTGCTGCATCTTGATGTATTTGTGTACTAGCGAGTGATTATTCAACGTCTGTGATGGGTGGTAGTTGCAGAAATGCAGAAGTGAACGCTGTGTGTGCGTAACATATTTACAGGAGTAAGAGTGATACGATTCTCAACCTGGTGGGCTGCATCGCCGAGCTGACAGAGTGCGAGGAGAACTCCCTCAAGACGGGCGTCAACGATTTCAGTGTCATGTTCTCGACCAGGAAGAACTGTGCCCAGCTGTGGCTGGGCCCGGCAGCCTTCATTAATCATGGTAAAACACCTTTGCGCTATTTGATTGCTGAATGCTATTGCATATTGATCCTTTTTAAGTTCAGTGGGGAAGTTCTGCAGTGTTCCATTATTGTGAACTCATTACAACTCTCATCCTAGGCTTCTTGGTATATATGTATATACAACAGGTGTCAAACAACAGGTGTCAAACCAATTCCACTTATTTTTATCCGTCTCTTTACTTTTCTTTTGAAGATTGTCGGCCAAACTGCAAGGTAAGCACTGCAGTCAGTTTTCTTTCATTTTTGAATTTGATTCCGATTGTTAATAATGATAATCTCACCTCAGTTATTTTTGGGTCCAAAGCTCATATGCCTAGAAAGTCAAAACTATTATGGGCAGAATTTTAGACTATTAAAATTCAAGCCTCGTTAGAAAGTAAGCCAGTGATTGATTTTCTTTTGTTTTTTTGGGGGTCTGAACTTTTCACGTGCAGTTTGTTTCTACGGGTCGCGACACAGCCTGTGTCAAAGTACTACGGGACATTGAACCCGGAGAGGAAATCACCTGTTTCTATGGCGACGGATTCTTTGGGGAAGGCAACTGTCACTGTGAATGTGAAACCTGCGAGCGGTACGTTGGGTACATTTTCCAGGAATTGCTGATCAAGGAGTGTTGTTCGTTTCCGTAATCATCTCATTTTGTTGAGGATTCAAAGTTGTTGAGGATACTGGTACAACTAATGCTGAAGGAATAACCTTTCTTGTACGTGACTGGTTAGGAGAGAAACATTAAACAGTTCAAATTGGCCAAGCACTACTAGAGTTTGCTTTTTCATGGCATGTTCTGTCTGGTAAGATTCATAGTAGCAATAGGCAGAAAAAAATTAAATATTTTAGTGAAGAAAAGAATTTGCCTTCTTGCCGCCACTACTGTTGTTTCTGGTATAAATAACTGGTGTTGGTCGTGTCACGAGTGAAATTGGTATGAAGTTATAAATTGTGTGGTCGTTTCTAGAAATGCATTTCATCTCAAATCGTATGGAATGTCACATAGAAAAATAAGTTACAAAAAAGTTTCACCAACTGTCCTTAGTGTCTTTGGCTTAAACATTAGTTCACTTCCATAATGGAATTCTTTGTATTAAGTGTACCCTTCTGCAAAGTTGGACAAAATGGACCTTTCCCATGAAATATGCAAATAAGGCAGGTGCTTGCTCATTACTGCCACTGGTTGGCAAAGTTGCTTAAATCTATGACGTAACAATACAAATCTCCATGTGCATGTATCTCTACTAGTATAGTTTGATATGAGTGCCAAACTTAAAGACTAGGAATTGTTACTTTCTAACCTCAGGACACTGAAAACTTCACCTAGTTTCGAGAAAAGTGTGAAGTATCGGACAAAGGCTGTAATACGGTTTTGATTGACGTTCATTGCGCCAGGTTATGGTTACAGCAGCTGACCTACACTGCCGGCAGTGGTGATGGCCGCGCTTGCCAACCAGTGGTAGTAGCGCACATGCGCCTCTCTAATTTGCATATATTGGGGAAAGGTCCATTTGGTCAAGTGGGGTGCTGTCATAGAGGTGTGCATTTTTGTTACTCAGGAGGCAGATGGGTGCCTTCACCCCCAAAGACATGCCGGTTAAGATTGATGAGAACAAGTACAGCCTGAGGGACACCGACCGACGGCTGCGCTGGCAGAAAGCCAAGAATGAAGAGGAGGGCGGGCCCAGCCAGGAGGAGGGCAGTGTGGTGAAGAGTGTGTTGCCCTCTCGGCTGCTGCGGAGAAGTGGTATGTTGTCACAGGCATTGTCCTCGACCGTAGGCCAACCTGCTTTTTAGGTAATCTTGCTAAGTAAACTAAAGGACTTGCAAGGACGTTTAAGCTGGTAACCTGTTATATGCTAGGCAGATGTTTTCTGAGCTTAGCAGGTCTGTGAAATTGACCCTTGGTCATATCACACTAGTCACAAGAAACTGCTAAAATGTTCAGAGCTTGATATCAGTTACTGCCTTTTTTTAAGTCGGGCATCGATGGCTTCATTCCATGCAGAAGCATTTCTTTTCTGTATATATATGCCAAGTGGTTGGCGTTTGAATGTAGCAGTGTTTTGTTTGGGCTTTGTTCAAAAGAACTGGTCGAATTGGATATGTTGTTCATGATCATGACTAGTATATAAAAGGAAGTTTTGATGCTTGGTGTCTTCACAGATTCCGAATGTAGCGGAAGCTCTGATGGTAGCAGTTGCCCCTGGAGTCGCTCGCGCTCCTCCCAGCCTCTCTCTCCATCCTTCTTGGCTAACCAGACCCTGGTGGACCTCATTGCTGAGAAGAAGTGCCTCTCAAAGTACGATGCTCAGCTGCTGGTGGCAGAGGGCTACAAACTCAGGGAAGCCAAGGTGGTCCTGACGCCCCACAAGATCAAGGAGGATGGCACACTGACTGTGGAGGAAGGGGGTGTGAGGTACGCCTCCAGGCTGCGCAGGGAGGAGCGGAGGAAGGCTGGCAGGGAGGGCCGTGAGAGGCGGATGTCACTAAATGAGGAGCCTGTGCCCTCGCCTAGGGTCGAGGAGGCTCACCTGAATGGGGGCATAGTTGACACGGAGGCAGTCGAGTGTGTGGCTGCTTCCAGGACAGAACGGAGGCGGTCCAGGGAGTCTCGCAAGCGAAGGGTGTCTGCGACAGAGGAAATGCAGGAATTATCGAAGCTTCCCCGAGAAACCTGTCTGGATCCAAGTGGAGGGGTGGAGGGGGTGAGCAGTGTCCCTGGTCTGAGGTCTAGGTCCGGGTCGGTGGCAGCGGTGGGATTGGCCCTGGACCAACAGTCCAATTGCAGTAGCTGTGACACCGAGGTGACGTTTAATGTCAGACATTTGTCAAAGGCTCCGAAGGCCATTGAGAAAGATTTGACGTACGAATCAGAGATCTCGGACTGCGAGACGAAGCTTAAGATCCGGGGAGTGCCGAGAGATCGGGCCATTGCAGGGAAGCGCAACCTTCTAGATGATGGGCCTGCCAGAACTAATCGACATGGGGGAAAGAGGGAGCGCAGAGAGACAGATTGTAGCAAAAACTGTAAGGATCTGAAAGTTAAGCATGGCAAGTCAGAGGGATTAGAAGTGCCGCCTCTCATTTTACCCAAACGCAAGATGACAAAATACGACGCGGAATTAATCGCTGAAGCAGTGCAAAAAATCCCCAAGTTGAAAATCCGTATGAAAGATTCTAATGGCTGTATAGAGGAAGTTGTCACATCGTCAGAGGATGAGGTGTCACCAAGACAGCATTCAGTGTCGTGCGAAAGCAGCTCCATCACCACTAGTCAAGACCAGAAACTTCTCCTTGATGTCCCCGACTCCCCGAGTCGCCTGACTCGAGGGCAGCGGGTCCTCATCCCCGGACCCAAACTCCCCCAGTCACCTACCTCCACCTCCAAGACTGATTCCCCTCCAGCTTCCCCGAGTCTCCTCAGGGCACGGGCTAATTTGAAGTTTAACTCACCGGAGCGGAAGAAGACAAGCCACCAGTTTGTACCTCGGATGTCGCAGCTGCGTCACCTTTATGAGATCCCTCCCCATCCCATCCTCCAGAAGGTTGACAAAAGCGTGCCTCCAAAGCATATTAACTCCAGCGATGTCAAGACCTTCTATCCCTCCTTTCCGGACAGTCCAAAAACAGAGCATCTGAGCGATGTGCTCAAATCAGAAGAGAGTCCTTCCCAGACCTTCCAAGTGTCAGTGAAGCCGGTCGATAACAGGAACACCCGCAAAATCCGACTGATATTTGGACAAAGGACGATGGACATTCAGTTGCCAAAAACGGGAAAGTGTTATCCCACAAAATCGAAACCTTTATGATGGACATTAAAGAAACAGCACTTTCTCTAGCATTAGGTTAATAATTGACATTTCCTGTACTGAAATCGATTGCTAAATCCGACAAAAGTGAAAACAAATTGTCCTGTGTTTGTGAATATATTAGTAACAGTGCTACCAAGTTGAATGAATTCTTTTTAATGTTTTCACTTATTCTTGGATATATCTCTTGAATTCCTAAACAAGTACTGATGCATATTATCATTATTATTCCCACCTGTTTCTGTCCGTCATTGAATATTGGAAGTGAACTGAGGTAGTATTGCGTGATTGACTCTTGTTCTTGGACTTGAGTGGAGAAGAGAGAGCACTCTGTTACCCAGGAAAGCATGCTTGACCGATTTTCATCCCAATGTGCACAAAGCTGCAGGGGTCTGGGCATAGTTGTTTGGTGCCGACGTGTACCGGTAGCAGCAACCTGCAGTGGTGTTCAGGTCCCAGGCGAGTCCCATTTTCACCAGACTGTGTCAGGTATCCCAATATCAGCCCCCTCAACTGGAGGAATACACGTAGGTAGGGCGACAGTTGAATGCCACTGGTAAGGCACGCTCACGTGTGTGTGTGCTGGAGCTGTGAGAAGACTTCTTGTGCATACTCGGTGCTCCACCCGTGCATAGAAGTACACGTCTGCAGTTTGTTACCCTTAGGAGCTTGTTGGGGCTGTGGGATATACCACACCATGAGCATGTTACAACACTTTACACACTGTACCCTCCAATGGAACTTCTGAATGTGATAAACCTGATCTCATTCATATATGACTAATTTTGAGCACAGTAGACCCTTTGTCTTTCTTGTTAAGTTTGAGGAATTGTACTGCATTTGTTTTTGATAAATTCAGTTGTAATTTGCCGTTTTAACACCTGATCTCACTCCTAGACAATGAAGTAATGGTAACATTGTGCAAACCCTAAAGTTTATATTCAGTGTTGATTATGAATATTGCTATTATAACAATATATATATTTGCCCAGTGTATACATAGTGTTAATTTCACTGAGACAGTTGTATAATAGAAGAATTTTTTATGTTATTTATTTTAATGTTGGTGCAGCTGGATGCACCCGTAGTTGGCCATTTTCATCACTAGGCGCCTTTCATGATCATGTACAGTGGCCCAGGCCCTCCTGGATTCAAAAGTTGCAACTTTGTTGTTGAAACTGGCGAACTTAAATTTCCTTGCTTTGTTTTTTCTCCCGAAGTCTGTTGGATTCAGTGGGCGTCATATTTTGCTGTCTCGGTTGTCTGCTCGATTAGTCAGGGCATGTGATCAGCATCTGGAGGGGGCAGAGTTAATTGGAAATCTGATGGTGAAGATCACGTCAGCTTTAACCCTGAAAAGTTATTACAGACTGGGTGGCTTAGCAGTGGAAAATACGTAATTTACAATCAGCTTCTGCTCAAGTAAACTCAAATAGATTCATTATTGACCCCACTCCTCACTGATCCCTTCACATTTGATGAGGAGGTTGGCTTGATTTTGTTAGATTGAGGAAGATACTATCTAGCTAACTGGGTGCTTTGTGCATCGAGGCACAGGTATAACAATTTGAGGAATACCTGTACATGCATAAACTCCCAAGTTGATCCGGCTGGCCCAGTGCAGAGCTGTAAATAGAGAGAGTACCACCAACCTCGGACTGTGGAACCAAAATGGCTGTTTATTATGTGTGCAGTAGCAGCAGCACAGAATGCAGCTATTGTGTGTTTATTGACCGTGTGCAGAGATGCATAATCCACCATTTTGGTTCCAACGATTGAGACATTCATGTCACAACTCTCTCTTTGAACAGCACTGGCCCAGTGCAGTTCTGTTTTTGAAACTGTAATACGAAGCTGCATTTTGGTTGATGTTTCATGCAGCTTTAACATAAATGCTTGAAGTTCACTGTAGTCTGAGGTGAAATTGTAACCAAGAATTGGAACTGGACAAGACTATGTCTGTGCAAGGGTAGCCTACAACTGAATGATAAAAGCTTAACCCTAACCATGCTGAACCCAACAAGGTTATGCAATTAAAGGGTAGAAGCAATGAGTTATTCATAGGTACATTTTTTTACCTGCAACTTTCTCACCCTTCTACAATGTAGGAAAATTAGCCGACGTCCCATTTTAGGTTAAATGTACATGTATTGAACAAATGCACTTTTTAAAAGCTGAGGGCGCTGTTGCTGTGATGTCATCTAGGGAAGACATAGTTCAGTGCGTAGGTTTTTTTTCTGTTCAAATTTTTGAAACGAGAATAATAGACCCACTGGAAAAACATTACTGAGAAGGGGTTTGCTTGCATCTGTATTGCTAGGCGTTTCAACGCAATGGATCAGAAAGAAAGGAACCTTTAGGTCCAATGGGACAGGTTTTCTTCTCGGGATGAAGTCACAGTTTGTTCATGAATATAGAAATCTATTTGCAAACCCTAAAAGTCAGCAAATATCCTTTAAAATAGTAAAACAAGCATTTCATAATATGAGGTTAACTTGGACACAAAGGGGCATGTGGAGATACGCATTTGAATTTTTTTCCATTGGAGACCCTTTCACAACTTCTAAAATTGAAGCAGGACATACCTGATTAGAACTCCTGTGGCTTTATCTTCAGCCTGCAGTTGACCAGATGTCAATTAATGAGCTCATCTGAAAGAAAACCTGTTAATACCCAAAGTGAAAGTACTGTTTTAGGGAGTAATTTCTGGATTTTAAAGAAATATGCAACAGTTTAGTTAACTCGGTTAGCCTCTTTAAACGATTCGTTCAATAATTCCTCAATTTTCACCTGGCCAATTGTATTAATTAAATTTAATCGGACACTGTCGTGTCAGAGTAATTTCAGGATTTTTCTCTGCGACTTCCTACCCAAACATCCAAATAAAATCTGACTGGATAAAAATATTTTGCTTATTATGGTCTTATTGTGTTAAGCTTGTACAGTGTGTATAATGACTTAGAGGAACAATCCGTATTGAGACAGGTCGGAATTCCAATAGCATTTACTGCACCCCAAATGAATCGCGCCCGAAGTCATTCGGGAGTAATGTGGGTCTGCCCTCGGCCATATGCTAGATGAATTGGTCAGTGTGCCCTTTTTTCTCGAATGACCTTGCCTTTCTACGGCGCTCCGTGAGTGCCATCCGACTTGTTCAGATACTGAGATAATTTATCATTGTAAGTCGACTTACAAAGCGTATTTAGTCGATTTAACGAGATAAATGATGTAATTAACTTGACTTCCCAAGTACAGTAAGTCGACATCACGAGATATTTTATGACATCAAGCCTGCTTGCAGGGTTCCCTATATCAACTTGGCGAGATAATTTATGTCATCAAGTCTACTTCCAGAACTCGGTTTGTCGTCTCGGAGAGATGATTTTTGTTGTCAAGTCTACTACTTCCGGATTTTGCTCGTGTCAAGTTGACGAAATAAGTTAAATACTCAAGTCGAATTCCTAATTCTAGTAAGTCGACTTGGCGATACAATTCATGCCATGAAGTCTACTCTCAGAATTCACTATGTCGAATCGTCGAAATAAATTTTGCTGTCAAGTCGATTTCCAAATTCTAGCAAGTCGACTTGGCGAGAAAATACGCTGCAGGTCACGTTCACTTGTGAGTAGTCAGTTCATGCCTGCATCATGTATACAACATGACATGGATTATCTCGCCAAGTTGACTTACTAGAATTATGAAGTCAACTTGCAACATTATTGATGTCGCCAAGTCCTCACAGTGAATTTTAGAAGCAGACTTTGATCACATAAATTATCTCGCAAAGTCGACTTACTAGAATTAGGAAGTCGACTCACTGACATAGATTTTCTTTTCAAGTCGATCTTCCAGAATTAGGAAGTTGGATTGACTACATAAATTTTCTTGCCAAGTCGTCTTCCCACAATTGTAAAGTCTACTTGACAACATAAATTATCTCACTGAGTTGACATCGCGAATTCCAAAAGCAAACTTGATGACATAAGTTATCTCGCCAAGTCGTCTCACCAAATAGGGGAGTCGACTTAACTACATAAATTATCTCGCCAAGTCGATATAGGGAACTCTGTGATCAGGCTTGATGTCATGAAATATCTCGCGATGTCGACTTACTATAGTTAGGAAGTCAACTTTACTACATAATTTATCTCGTTAAATCGACTAAATACGCTTGATAAGCCGACTTACTAAGATAAATTATCTCAGTATCTGAACAAGTCGGATGGCACTCACAGAGCGCCGTACCTTTCACCTTTTTGAAATACCGAAATGGATCATTGTTCCACCACTGAGAATAATGAGATTATTTTAATGAAACAAAAAAGTTGGGCAGTTACATTTTTCTGCACCGTTAACATTTTTTCCCGACGTAACGAAAAGTGTAGGACTTTAAGATGAAAAACAACTAGTATTCCAAGTAATGGTATTTACATACACTGCAACGTCAGGCGGAAGGAAAAATTGAAGACCCGAACGTTAAAGGAAATAGTTTTGTCCCGATTCCTAGTAAAATTAAACATCCAGTATGGTCAAGAGCTTTCAAAGCAACAGAAGCTTTGTTGAAGTGGGATACATGTTATAAAAAAGCACAGCTTCAATACCTCATGCCTGTATGTTATTTCTAATACCTAAACCGAAAAGGAACAGAAATTGTGCTAATTCTTTTGGCGATAGATCCACTTGTTGGCATGGTTTCTTTCTGAAAGTATTCTTTTTGTGAGCGATGCATTAAGCATTCCGTACACTAAGCGCTTATCGCACACGCAATTTGGCGTTGGATGTTATGTTCCGCTACCCGTCATTGTGCGTAGGGCTAGGGCCGGTCATCAGGGAAACACCTTTAAATATGACGTCATTTTACCTGAGTTACCAGCTACCCTCATAGATTTTTTTCTGTACTTTTTTGGTAAAATGAAAAGAATAATTGCCAGTATAGTAGAAAATAATATATATCACATTTATTATAGTCAAATTTGTCTAGAGATTATTATTGTTATTATTGGGAATTTGGTATCATTTTTAGGGTTGCGATGTATGGTTTGTTAAAATGCATTGTGGGTAATTTGTTGATTCACGAGATTGAGGTGACCATTTCGAGCACACTATGCGAAACACGTGAAATAAATTTGCAAAATCGAACACAGACTATTAGTCTCCGTTACGTTGAAGGCAAATCGTGTGCCGTCATGCCTGCTGCGTCGTCAAAACCAACCCTTCAAAATGCCCCGAAAGAGGGCCAAGATTTCCCCCAGCAACTTATGGCAATGATAGAGAAGAAGATCCGCAACTTGGAGAAGAGAAAGGTGGGATTTTTGGGCTGCATTTTGTGGCGAAAACAGACGGTCAAAAGAGTGACGTTGCAAGACCGGAAGAGGACGGTGTGTCCGATTGTTTCGTGCATGACAAAAGATGACGACACTTTTGCACGGTCCCGTCCTCGAGTTTTTAAAGGCCACAGTGTACCAATGAAATTGCCTAAAATTACATTTAGGGACGAGGAATTTCGAGTATTTGTCGTTTGTGTTATTTGATGTTTTGAAGTTGTTTTACCTTTTTAGAACATGATTCTACGTTGGTCTAAATTGGTGGTTGAAATGGGGTCAGGCCTAGCCTGCCGTCAGGACCGATGACCGTCAGTGCAGTGTGATCAGTTATTGTCAATTTATGGCAGTAGTGGCCATTATTCACATGATTCATGGTCAGTCCATTCATACTCATCCATGACAGTTACCATTGACATGGATGACCATGACACCAAAACTGGTATGACCAACTGCAAACACATGGTGATGACTATTGTCAAGATTCTACACCCCAAGGACTGTGCTATGGGGTCCGACGTCAACCCCGCTCCCACAAATGTGGGAGCAGGAGCGGGGCGGACGTTGGACCCCACTTTTTGAGGGTAACCAATGTAGAAGTGACCACATTGATTTATTTATGACTAACGTTAGTTTTTTCCATCGTGTTCATATTCCGATACTCAAGAGCAGCAAGTTTTATTTTGTTGTTACACTCACTGAAATGTACGTGCTATACCATCTGACCATAATTTGTCTTTGTTCTTCATTGGAGAAAACAATTGCCTGCAAATTCTGCAAAAAAGAGTGAAGATTTTAGCCTGATTCTATGTGATTTATGGTACAAAGCCGTGATAAACCTGTAACATGTATGTGCATGCATGTACTCATGTTATTTCCTGTCATTGTTTTTCCCCTCAAAAGTTATGGTCAGGAAATTACTAAGGATATATATTTTGTCAATTTGAAATCCCCGAAATCAAAGCTGAATAAAAAAAATGAACATTAGACTCGCCTACGGTTAGAGAAAAACTGGCAATAAAGTACCCGTGTTGATCATGTTCTTCAGGGTTAGGTTCACCACTTGAGAAAAAATCTGCCAAAATCTGCAAGCGTGCCATATGCAACTGTACATATCCAATAGCATGCACATGACTCACAGATTTGAACCATTAAAATGCATTTCCCTCAGACCAGCGCTTGTTTCAGAAATGAAATTGACTTTTTTCGTCAAGAGATAGTCAAATCAGCCTGTTTCATGTTCTGCAGAGTCCATTATCAATCGACAACAGGGCTGCCAAATCTCCCGTAATTGTTTGCAGATGAATTGAAGATCTTTTTTTCAACAATTACCAACTGTTTCTGTCCTTTGTTGGACTTTAACACATCTTAGTACACTGTATATTCCTCCCTGATTGGGTTAACCATACCCTGTAATCTCCCGCCCCCCACCCTAAAAATTATCTGGTTACAGATTTGGGGAAAGACACTGCAATACATGTATGTACATGTAGGAAGGTGGGTCCTCGCCACATGGGGGCGTGATGCCCGCTGGAAGTCAAAGAACAGACTTTGCAAGCACAGATGGACGAGCACAGGGCACCAAACAAAATTGGCCTCCCCACAAGCAAGTCGTGCATTTTCATCGCGTGCTCTTGGCTGGTTAATTATGTCTTCACACAGTATGCTTACGCACAGGTACAATGTGGGCTCATTTTTATGCTGGTAGCCACCTGCAGATTCGCGTGTGTCACTGTGATTCACAGGGGAGCCATCTACAAAAGGAAGAAAAGAATTCACACTGCACAGTTTTCCTTCCTCCATGACCACACTAAGCAAACTGCAGATTCTTCACTGTACATGTGCTATTACAGTTATGCATATTCATAGATTCAAATTTTATGCGCATATCATATGACCAAGGCCATGTATGTACAGTGTATGTTCAATATTGATACCAGGGCTGAAATACTGAATGCATACATGTACATTGCAAAAAAACACTCAGGTGTCTACCACATGTACATGTACTTTCTATAGGGCTGTGAATGATTGTGTGAGGTACTGTACCCTGTAGCCTTTGTTCTCTACAGCCTGGAAGTGTGTACCGAATTCTGCCGAATGGAACACACTTTTTGTTGAAATGTCACCTTCATGGGGCATGAGCCTGTTCCTTCCCAGATCCATCAAAATTTGCCACTGGCTTTTTAGGGGGAGAATTTTGCGAGACTTAGGAAGACAAGCCCAGTCACAGTTTGCTTTGAACATGTACACGTATGATGCCACATGGTGCTTGCCCCTTGCTAAATTTTGAAGGTTGTAGGAAGATATTCAGCCAAGTACCCTGAGGAGTTACATGTACCATTAAGCCTTAAAGTTAACCATGCTAAATCCCAACGATATCCAACAATGGGCTCTTTCTGTAGGATTTTGTTGATGGCAGCAGTGAACAAAAGGTCTTTCGTTCTAAGCAGTTGGATTTTGTCAGATTCAGGAGGTTTCATGCTTTTCTGTGGTCAGATTTCGTTGGATTCAGCAGGGTGTCTAGAGAAAACCTGAAGGGTGTTATAGACCTGCCGACCTTGCCGTACTCCTTCCTGAGGTCAGGCATTACCACACAGTAGATTAAAAGGTATTTAAATGAGCCTTCAGTTCATTTAGCTTTTTAATCTATTGTGTGGTAACGCATGACCTCAGGAAGGAGAACTGCATGTTGGCAGGTTTGGTTTTACGTTGAATTAACCCTAACCCCCAGGCCTTTTAATTGGGAACCATCCTGAATCCTCTGAAATCCTCCAATTTTCATTATGAAAAATTGCATTCAGCCCAATTCCTCCAAAATTTCTTGAAAATGTCATTTGGAGGTGTGCCTAACTGCCCAAATCCTTCAAAATCCCCTGGCAATACATGTCATTATGTTGATGCAGTGCGAATGGCACTCTTGAGCTGTGCAGTTGATTCAAAAGCAATATCGGGCTGAATTTGTGCTTGACGAAGCACAAACAACATAAGGTCTAATCCACGACCTTCACGTATGGCATCCCTCGAAATCAGCCATGCACTTTTGCCATACACCATGAATCCTCCAAATTCCTCCACTTTGCAGAGAAGGATTTAGGAGGGTTAGGGTTAATGCATGCAAAACAATAATACATGCAGCTTTAAAACTTTAGGGTTAAGATCTGTCGTCGTTAAAAAAACATACGTTTGACTCTGAAAAAACTAACATGTAGCTCTCATGGGTGAATAAAAATAGAAGATGTCCGATTCTTCCAAAATGGAGCAAACGAACATTTAGAAATCGAAGCAGAGATTTCACAATTCTCAAGGGTTGGAAAATGAGCGTTTCACTGCTTTTCTGAGCTGTGGAGTTTGAGATACTGTTGATTGGGATACTGTTGGTTGCACTATGGTGCCTGCCAAGACCCTAATTGAGTTTTTCGTTTCTCTCTTCGCTTTCTCTCTCCAATCAATTTGCAGATGAAGTTGCAGCAATACCAGAATATGGTCCAGGCTGGCCAAGACCTGACCAAGGACCAGGTCCAGGCCGCCTCCCACTTTGACGAGGTCTGCAGCAACCTAGACTTCGCCAAGGAGCTGCAGAAGACCTTTCAGACCACCATCAACGAGGTACCAGCGAGTGTGGTCGGTACTCAGACCCCACACTTGACTAATTGTCCCTACGGTTTACTTTTATTTTTTTAGAAACACTGTTAAAACAATGTGCTGTGAATTTAAAGAACAGATTCGAGAATCCAGATTTCTTGAATTGTTATAGCCTTTGTTGTTTTTCCACTCTCCTTACAAAACCGTAGTTATAACAAAGTACTTTGCCGAGTCCCTGCAACTTTTTTCAATCAGAGTCAACTGTACTTCTAATAATATATGTAGAAATGTACCATACAGCAAGTGTGGCATATTCTATACCTGTAGGCAGTTTAGTACAGTACGTAACCCTCTGGTTGTAACAGTCACAAAGCGTCAAAAATTTGATTATGTTCCCCCCCTGCTACACATACTGGACAGTCACCGTCAGTCAGATCCTACTTCTGGTTGGTATTGTGACCAGTCAAACTCAATCAGTAGACAAAAGCAGGTGACTGGTAGACAAAGCTGGCTTTGCAATCATCAGCAGCCTAGGCGTAGCCGGATCAAGTTACGTAAACAATCACAGCCGGTCTGTTTTGCTGTATGTAGTCAGGGGGGCCTCTAAACTGTTCAAAAACGATTTGGACCAATAGGACGCTTCCCTGAATGGAAAATTGCGTAGGAGAGTTTTAAAAGTGCATACACGTGTGTGGACCTTTTCACAGTGTTTAAGACCAAACTTTAGAAGTGCACTCGGGCTGTAAAGATTACCGATAACCAACTGCCATGTTACTCCAGCATTTCTACATTGACCTCGTGACCCAGAATGCCAAGCAGCAGAAGAAGCAGGCCAAGCGAGAGAGCGCCTTCCGGCACGAGCAGGAGCTGCAGCGCATCCGCGACGTCATCCTACTCAACAACGTGCTGAACCACCTGGGCACGGACCACGTGCGCAATGACTTCCTGAGCGGCAACAACGGCGCCGTGGTGAGTTGAGCCGCAGGACGAAGCAACGCTCTCCCAGTCCATTCAGACCAGAAGTGTACCCCCCCCCTTTGCCTACTAATAATCTGACAGACAAAATCTATTGACGCCTGAGTATTTCAGCCAGGCCTGCAGCCTTGTAAAAAGAGCCCAGATTGTGCGGTGTTATGTAACTTTCTTTTGTTCATGAACCTGGCGCAGTGCACTGTTGACCTCTTTTCAATCGGGGCCAGATTAGCGTGCAGCGGTGCTGTGTGGCTCATCGCTGCGGTGCTGGAGCGTTTTTGTCCCCGGTGGTAATCCGCTTGCCCCAAATCCCTAAAACCGTGGTATACTGTTTCAAAACAAGGCTGGATTATCTGTACTATTGAGAGTGAACAAAATGTTGGTAATGCCCAGCAGCCTGGTCTTTTGTTCAGAGCACAGTCTTTTGTTTAATACAAGGCCCAGTTCCCTTCGTCCAATTTCAGAGACCCCGGCCATGCGTATAAAGCATATGTGTCTGGTACTGGAAACCCCAGCGGCAAGTGGTAAAAGCATGCCATGTCTTGGTCCCACACAGAACAGATAAATTGCAACTGTTTTGGTGTGGTTTGAGTTGTGAAATGAACCAAAAAATGAAATGTACTTCAGGCAATTCAGTGTTCCTCGTTAACTTGAACTTCTCCCTCACATGTTCCTCTTCCCTGTGGCCCCCCCTCCCACCATTGCAGAAATTGATGGATGATCAGGTGAGCCATCTGGACGAGTTCTACAAGCTGGTCAACCCGTCGAGAGAGGGCGAAGAAGAGGGGGAAGGGAAGGAAAGGAGGTGAGTTCCAGTTTGGCCGTCGTCTTTCCTCCGTCCCTTGAGAGATTGTGGCTCTGTTTTGGACTGGTCTGCCACATGGCGGCCAATATGAGTTGCTTTCACCTTGTCTTAAGTCATAACCCCTTGTAAGATGCCTTAACGTTGCTCCTGCTTGTCACTTTAGCCCTGTTTGAGTTTGTGGCCACGACCCTGTTTTAAGTTGGAGCCTTGGCTAAGTGGCCGCAACCTTGTTTCAAGGTGGCCACGTTAATCCTGTTTACACTGGTTGCCAAGACCCTCTTCAAGTTGCCCATTACCCGTTGTAAGTTGTCTTAACCTCGTTGAAGTTGTTCACTGTTGCACTGTTTCAGCTGGTTGTTATGACCCTGTCTGATAAGTTGCTCATATCCTGTGTGAGTCATTCTATCTCTGTGTACTTTTTCCAGAGCTTTGTCAAGTTTTCTAGGCCATGGTTGCAGTAACTTGGATATTGGAGTTGGCTGGCAATGACAAAATTGACAAGGCATCTGATGAGTGGACAAATATTCGCATTTCCGTCCAAAACATTGGGTACCGTGGAAATAAAAGCCCCAAAGAGCATCCAAATGTGTAGTTGTAAAAGTATCAGAAGATTTTACTGGGAGTGGACAGACAGGTTTTAACGAGCCTTGGCTGGGACAAGACAAGTAGATATTTCAATCCTAGGCGAAACCTTGTTTCTCTGTGGCTTTCCCTTGTTTTTCACCCAATCTAGAACAGGCTCTTAATAGTGAGCACGTTTTTCTCTTTGAAAGTTCCGCGAGCTTTGAGACGAAGCTGTCGGAGGCCAGCGAACACCTGAACAGCTACATCAAAGAGGAAGAGAAGGTGGTGCTTGGGACAACCTGTATCCTTAGAAGCTGTGGCTACATTTTTAGCCTCTCCAAAAGAGTTGGCCCCTGAAAAAATTCCGAATTAGGACTCATTTGTTCAGTTGGTTCGCAGGTTGTGACCAATTTGTAAGATTGCCTTGGCAGGTGCATTTCACATCGTCCTTTACTCAAATGAGAAACCCCAGTATTACATAGCGTTTTACTGATTAAGTTAAATTCTCTTGGAATTGAATTTTCAAGAGGTCAAGATTATACGGATTGGACAGTGTCCATTTGTGCACAAATTATGGGCTCTGTGTCTTTTCAAAGCCAATTTTTCCCAAAGTAAAAAAAATCGATTTGTCCGTTATTCCATCAAATGCTGTTCAATTGATATTACATACACGTTTTTATAAGTGTCACATTTCCTTAACTGAGTCGGGCCAGACAAAGACTTGAAGGCGCTCGTCCAGGAAATAAACCAGTGTGGTTACCTTGACAACATCCCGGCCCCGCCCGAAGAGGAAGCTGTCTGTGAGGGGGAGGAGGAAGCCACGCCCCCAGCCACACAGGGATCAGGTAGGATGACTCTGAAATGTAGCCAATAGCCCATGTGGCGTGCAACAGGGTAAAACATGTAACTCGGCTGGTCAGCCACACGAGGCCATTGAAGTTAGTCTGGTGTAGTGCTGTAACTTGTGTGTTAACGACCTTGGTATTTGGCTCCGTAGGAAATGCTGAGGAGACGCCTGAGGAAGACTACATCATTGTCCAGCAGGATCAGGTCCCTCCACCTGAGGCTCCTGAGGTAATCAATCAA